CATTACAAAGAAAAACAGGACAGCAAAGATGCCCTTGACTGTTATCGAGAAGCAAATCAGTATGAATACCAAGCTGGATTGTAACTTTGCAGTCCGCCTGAACAAACAAGACACAGGAGTTTTATGCTCGTTCTGGCCAAACACGGCTGCTATACTAAGAAATATTTGGAGAGTGATTGAATAGCATGTTTAGACAAAATGTCTCTCTGAATTGGTGAAATGTAATCAATACTCTGCTGAGAGCAGAGCAGTATTATAGCCCACTGTTGATGCTTGTCTTTTCCTAAAAGCAAGCATAACCACCAGAGATAAATTAGCCAATAGCCATGGTATTCACTGTTATTAACTTCTTGTGAACTTGTTGTTTTAGCAATAACAAAAGGATAACTATTGAGATATAGGCTGTATTGAGTATTTGGGTCTCCTCTCAAGCAACGTTAGCATAGTGCCCTAATTTTGTCATCCATGTCTAAATAATGAAGAAAGGCAATACTCTTAATAAACAGCCAACCTTATCTCTAGAAACTAAAGCCATGACAATGCTTGGTAATGCTGGCAAACTCAAAATGAACTCAAAAGTCAGTTCTGTGGGTGTGCTTTGTGTTGATTGGCAGGAATAGTAGGCAGATCCAATGAGTAAAAAAAAAAACAAAAAACATTGCAGTGTTGTTGTGGTTCACCTACCTTAAAACATTAAAAGGGTGTAGATATGTTAAATGTTGACTCATACACCTTTAAAGGTGCAGAATATAAATAGATCATTATAGGTTGAATCACTAGACAATAAAACTTTATTATCATTTCTAAACCAGCTTTTCAGTGCCTCTTATTTCCTATTGTACCAATTGGGATAACAAGCAGATTGCCTGCCTACTGTCTTTCAACCTTGGAAAACAAAAGACAAATCTGCATTTCATTCAATATTAAGTAATTACAATTGATGCCCTTTCTTTAGCAGTTTGATCACCAAACCACAAATGTACATTTTTATGCGAAAAAACTTTTAAACAACATTTCATCAAATGGGTTGTGGAAATGTTTATTGGAAAAGCTATAAATGAGCTGACCAGTCTGTCTGTATGCCGGTTCTTTGTTTTTCAGCACTGTGACAAATTCATGCAACCTGAGAATTATAGGTGTTCAATGTGGACATGTATTATAATGTACCAACTCCAGTTATTAATTACAGTCAAAGTGTCGCTAAAAATATTCACGCTTAAAATGATTATCGTAGTCGTGCAGTCCTGAAGAATAGGACATGTTTCTCTGAAGGCTGTGACATACATATGAGACAGTGCTATTATCCTGACTGCTCTTCTAACTCCATACCTTACTGCTGTAAGTGTTTCTACAGGCAACTAACAGCACTGGTGGAACCTTGAAATACTGTAGATGTATGAATGGAGAATTTCTTGCACTATGGACACATTCAAGTGGATTTTATGTTTATTGTTCCCTGTAAAAATGAAGTCTGTTAAAAAACGACTGACATGAGCCAAAGTGAAATAATTTTTAAACCATAGTGCGTGGTGTTTGAAGATCATTTATCCAATGATGATGTATAGATAGTTGATCATTTCCAACACACACCTCTGAAGTCTTTTTTAGTTTTATTTTAATTGCTTAATTACCATTACTCCAACTGGTTATATAACTTGAACCTTCAACTAAATTCTCAGAAGCAGCTCTGAGCTTATGAAAACTTTGTCATAAAGTTATGAAAACATTGTCCTCATGCTTATAACCCAGTTGTACTCATGTGACCTAACAGAAGTGTATGATTGGCCAGGAGCCATCGTTTTTGCAAAAATTATTACTTTGTAGCATGTGAATTAAGGTAGAATTACAAGGGGTTGATGACTCCTGTAGGATGTCAGTCTGCCCTGTTTCTGGCTCTGTGATATAGCTTTGACATGTCAAACTTGCCACTTCCTTAGCTGTGTCAGAGAGACACTTTATGACTCACAATTGTGTGTAGTAAGTAATACTAGCAGGTTTTGTAATGTCTACCTTGCAGATTAAGAGGCAGTAAAGAAAGATAACAAGCCTATCAGGACTTACTAGGAATGTAAAAGATACTTTACCAGAGCAATACAGTTCATATCAGATTTTTACCAGCAAACTCTTAACAGCAGACACTCACACTAGCACTACCTCACTCACTAGACACACTGTAAATTATTAATTTTTCCTAAACGTTATGCATGAACTGACATGAACTGTCACCACCAGATAAACAATACTATCACCATCAGAAAAAACAGAGCTTAAAGTTTTCATCTTTGAGAGAGAGGAGAAAATCAAGCTTCACTCTTACTTCAGATCTGAAGAAATACACAGGTGTTTCTCTCCATCCTTCCACTGTGAGAAGACCACTCAACACTATGAGTCTGAAAGGATGTGTAGCTGCTAAGAAGCTGTAACTGAGAAAAGGAAATAGACTGAAAAGAGGAAACTGTGCAAATGATACAAAGAAGCTGCTGGAGTTCTCAGAACAGTAGACTGACCACCCCAGACCAGTCCAGACCTCAACATCGCTGAATGTGTTTGGATTACTTGGATTGTGAGAAGCAGAAAAGCACAACCAACCTCTAAGACTGAACTTTGGAGGTGTGGAAAAATATCCCTGCAGATTTCTTTGAAAAACTGAAAGTGAGTCTTCTGAAAAGAATGGGAGTTGTAATAAAGACAAAGAGTGGACACAATAAATACTGAACATCTTTATATTATTTAATATCTGTGTTTGTGTAATTTTCTGTTAAATATGTTTTCTGCTTTTCTCAATGAAAAATAAATGACTTGTACAGGCCATTTTGACTGGAAATTAAATAAACAATGGGCGGTCTCTGACTTTTGCACAGTACTGTACGTGCAGTACCCTTCTTGAATCTATCCCTTGTTGCCCACCCCCCCACCACCCATCTCTGTCTGAGTATGTTGCTGTAGTACAAGAACTCTGTATTCTAAATGCATATGAACATGAACTTTTTGACACAATATTCATTGTTCCTTATGACTGATGTATCTATGACAGCAGTGATTGAAAGGTTGGAAAACAATCTCTTGAACAGGTTCCTATTCACAGAGATGTAACAAATAAATCATGAAGCAGGAGTAAAAGCGTACGGGATGCTTGTTTCATGTTTATAAATGAGAGCAGTGTAGTATAGTAGTGAAGTTTATAGTAACAAGTAAAGAGAGTTACGTATTAGAGAGCAGAACAACTGGAGAGCACATGTTATAGAAAAGTGAATTCTTGTTCTCTTTTCTCACCACAGGCCTCCTATGTTGCCTATTACCCTAGTCACCTCAACAGGGAGGGAGGAAGTGATTAATTCTCCCTGCAGGAGAGTGAAATATTTAGGCTACTTACTCATTCACTCACTCAGACATGCTGTCAAAGGTTCAGGGCTACAAACCACGCTTTTATCTGAAGAAAATGAGTGGGTTACCTAAGAAAATACCTCCGCAACCATCATATTGGCTGTTTTTATTTATTTACACATTTGTTTGTCAGTTTAGCCCTGAACTACACCCACACCGTGCTAGTTTGTATGTTTAGAATCTTTCAGTGGTTCTCTTCTGTTTACTGGGCCCACATTGTGCCTTTTGAGCAGTTAATGTTTGCTGTTTTGTTTAACTTCCTGGGCTCTTACAATTTTAAATCTCAGTAACTTGTATGTGCATTTCAGATTCTAATGATGGAATTTGAGGTTTAGCTGTACAGTACAGATTATTCTTGTAATGGTAGTCTGAGTGGGATCACTGTGGACTGCCAGCTTACCTCCTGTTGCACACCAGTCTTTCCCTGTGTGTCATGATTATGGTGGTTTCAACATAAACATGTTTCTTTCCGTTTTGAGGCAAGGCAGCTGAAGTGACTTTATTACGCTCCATTACTTGCAGTAAGGAGCTGCGAATCGTCTCCATCTGCTGCTGCCTTTATGCTTCACCAGCTCATGTATGCCCAAGAAACCACTATTACCAGAAGAAATACATAAACTGAAATGACAGAATGTTTCACTTGCTTTTCTGTCGGTTCCTCCATCTGTCAGTGGCACAATCTTTCTCACCCAAACAAACATCTCCTTTCTAGCATCTGATATCATATAGAGCCATTCAATCATTGGAAAGGATTCTCTGAGTAGGAACTGGGGGTTCTGAAAAACGAGGGAGCAAATCCAAGAAAAAGGAAATCCTAAAGATGCAGCTTCAGATTCAGGGGACAGATGGCCATTGACCAAAATCTGCTCCACCCACAAATCCGGTCTTTCATAGTAATTGTTGGAAGGTTGGGCAAGCCTTATAGAACACTGACAAAAATCCTCTTCATTCTTATGAATTTAGGTTAGATTCTCTAAATAAGGTTGAATTTCCAGTGTAAAATGCTTCACTACCAGGCTGGTGGGCAGTCAAAACTAGATTAATTGGAAACAGCAATGATTATCCCAACATGTTAACGTCAGCATACAACAAAAACAAACCAGAAACATCCAACCTATCCTAACAGTGTGATTGTTCATAAACATACAAAATAAATATTGTTTCGAATTAACACTCTAAATTTCCCTTTTTCCCCCTTTTGGTAAAATTTGAAAATGTGCTTGAAAAACCTGGATGGGGAAAAAAAGCCAGGAATTAAAAAAAAATTGCAAAACAACTTTTTACACTTGGATTAGGTGGAAACGTTGGTTTTTCGGTGGAAACAGTACTGGCATAGTGGTTCTTGTGTATGGCACTACATCCTCTCAGAACTGGTTGCTCCAGTGGCACTCGCAGTGGTTCGGTGGGCATCACTGAACTATTAGGACTACAGCCAGGTGCAGTTGCACTTCAGTTTTTCATTAATGTGAATGGAATTTTCTGAATGGGAATGTTCTGTGAAGCTTGTCCAACCTCGCAACAGTTGCTATGAAAGAATGCATGTTTGGAGCATAGGTAGGTCTATTATGCATGCATAGACCAAATGATTTCTAATCGCTACCGTTCCTTTGTTACAGGGCTTCCTGAAGAGTGAGCGTGTGGCCCGCATGGTGCAGAGTGGAGGCTGCTCAGCCAGTGATTTTCGTGAGGTCTTCAAGAAGAACATTGAGCGTCGTGTGCGCAGCCTACCTGAGATTGATGGCCTGAGCAAAGAGACTGTACTGAGCTCCTGGATCACCAAATACGATGCCATCTTCAAGGGAGAGGAAGACCAGCGGCGGCCGCAGGGTCGTATGCCCTTCAGTGCAGTTTCTGAGCTCATCCTCAGTAAAGAGCAGCTCTACGAGATGTTCCAGCAGATCCTAGGCATCAAGAAGTTTGAGCACCAGCTGCTCTACAATGCCTGTCAGGTGAGTTTTTGAGTTTACTCAGAGCACTAAAGGGTCTCCCAAAAAGCTGTGTTAGGTGTATGTCACAGACTCAGTACAACTATGATTAAAAAGAATCAAATATATTCTTTCGTATGGCATTAATCTGTCAGCATAGGTGCTTTGTGACAGGTCTGAGAATGATTTGTGATTCCAGGAGTACTTGTTATTTTTATGGTTCCAAAACATGTTATAAAGGATACACTCTGCCAATAAATAATATCGCAATACTTCAAGACATTTTCAGGATACATGATATGTCATGATACTGTTTTTCTGATATCTGCTCAGTTGGACCTGACAAAAAAAAGAACAGGTAGTGCCACATTTAAAAATACAATCAAGAACTTTAAATACAATGATTTTCATTAAATATTTTACAGTTAATTAGGACTAATGATGCGCCTTTCTGTAAAGTATATTGTGTTGTATTATAATGTAATTTATAACAGTAACAATATCTTTATATTACCCAGCCCTAGTTGAGTACTGTAGTCACGGCCTCTAACTGTACTCTTCCAAGATGGTCTAAAGTGGCCATTACATGTACGTAGTGCTTAAAAACCCCAGGAACGCTGTTGCGCCTGATATGCTCTTACCAGCGCAGCACACACCAGCATGCCACTAGAATGTTGTATAATGTCACTGCTGTGTTGAGAATGTTCCACCACTCAAATAATATCTCATTGGGCTAGTCCTGTGGTGGTCCCTTTCCACTGATGCATAGGGTGGAGCGTAACCAAAGGGCTACAGCAACAGAAGGGCTCTTAGTGTAGAGCTACAAAATGCACCTATATGGTAGTTGTTTCTGATAAAATGGCCAATGATACAGGAGAATCTAATAAACTGCCAACTCAGCGTAGGTTCCACTTAATATTATAGTTAATCTGAGCAGGGATGTCTGAAATATATATTACATCAGTGTACCTAAAGAAGACTCCTGCTGTAGAACACATGCTTGCAGTTTCTCATCTGGAGTTGACCTGTAGAGGATTTTACTTAAAGATCCATAATCGGAATCGACCAAGATTGGAATTGGTAAATTTTTGCTCCAAACACATAATTTATTTTTCTATTTTGGTCGATCTGTGGTGCAATTTTATGATGTAAATAATGTGAGGCAGGTAAGTGCTTTTGTGATGTATTTGAATGCTGCTGCTATGTCTATACCAAAATGTTGTATGCATGACTCATTGTGCTAAATAGTTGGCTCGATTTAGCTCTTTATTTGTTTCGTGCTATTTAAAAAAGCAACTGATTTTTTTGTTCAGGAAATTAAAATGCCAGTTTGGCTCATTAAAAAGCAAATAATGTGATTTGTATTGCAACTTTCGCTAATACAAAGAAATGCAAATGTGCTAGTGTCTTTCATGTGTTTATTTAGCCCACAGTCAGCCAACAGAATTGGCCATTGACCAGTTTAACTTGAAAGAAACTCGATACGGCCATAAAAATTTGAGATTGGTGCACCCTTAAATTTGATAGCAAGATCTAGTTCAGAATTATCCATAGATTGACTGATGTTTTCATATACAGATCTAGTGTTCATTTTAGGGCCTATGAAGGGGTTAACCTTCTGCCTTTAAAGGCAACATTACTCAGTAGTGAATGATAATGTGTACCAACAGCATGATGCAATTTGCGCACTTAAATCATCATGCAGTTACTTCAAACCACATCTATTTTAAAGTAATCATGGAGCGTGCTATGAAGTTATGCAAGCTGTCATTTCTGTGGTTATCTTTAAAAATGTTTAATGACATTCCATAGCAGTTAAACAGTAGCCATCAAGAATACAAAAGCACTTTATATGAAACCACTGAACTGTTACTTCACATGGTAATTGGCAGGCAGATTTAAATCATTAAATCGTTTTTTTTTTCTACAGCTTTCTGTATGGAGCACAACCTAGTCAGAACTCTAGGATTTAGAAATATTGAAGTGAGCAGGAGTTGGTGACAATTAGGTCAGTTTCACCCAATTTCATATATGAGCTTCTGAGATAATTTTGTGGCCTCTGAATAAACCATGACTTGTGATGTTTTCCACTACGCTGATGAGTGTGTTCGCATGCCTTTGAGTCTCATGCCCTTTACCTTAATTACCTGAGCTCAGGTGGTTTTATCCAATCACTGGCCTCTTTAAAGATGTTCCATAAAGGTCAGGGGCTGTTGGGGAAATGGTCTAATCAGCATGCCCTTGTGTGTCATCTGCCACAAGCCCTCCCTGGGGAAAGCTATAGTGAAAGAGAGCTGGCAGGAGGTCTGTGGGTACCTCTCCTTTTATCACAATTGCTGCTAGCAGATTAGTGCAGTTAGTAGTGTAGCTGACACACTAATAGGGGCAAGTAGGTATCCAGAGACTAGTAGGTGGAAAATATTTTACATACATCAAGATACAATGCAGTGTGCAGGTCATTTTATTTATATATATATATATATATATATATATATGCTGTCAGAACAAAACCTCGTATTTCATACATGCTAACTTTACAGGAGAAGGAAAACCATAATTTACTATTAATGTAAGTCAATGGAAACAGACTTTTTTCCAAGTATATTTTGGCCATTTCTGTTGGTCCATTCATCATGAAACACACAATGTAAAAAATCAACCAATGTGAAAAACTGAAAAATGGGGACAAAAATGGAGATGGAAGGATTTGAGAGGACCAGAAAACAAGTATTTGAGTAATCGTCTACTCAGTTATTTCTTGTTTTGTAATAAGTTCATGCACAACAGAGCTAACAGAAGGTCTAGAGTTGACTATAGATGTGATTTTGGAGTCTATTATTGTCTGTCAACATGAGGAACAAACAGACATTGGTGCCAGAAAAACAGGCTAAGCTGAAAAGACTGCACTGAGAGACACCACTTGTGTTCTTCAGCTGACTTGAATCCTTTAAATTACTGTTGTCTAGAAGTTTAATCAGGCATGAAATTTGCAAACCCAACTGAGCTCAATGCACAGTACCAAGTTTATGGTCCAAACCTGACCTGAGCTGCCAGAATTCCATCCAAACTCAACCTGAACCCAACAACCACCAACTGCCAACCAAATAAAACTCCTAATGAATGCCTCTTGTTAAGTTAGCTTGTATGATAGTGACAGATCCCCAATAAACAACATTAAAACACAAATTATCTCATGATGTCTGACCCTGAACAAACCCAACATGAAGATTCAGCCAAATATTTCACTCTACTGTCATCTAATGAGGTGAACAAACATCTTAGTTATCAAAGCTGGTCTGAGTCTCAGCTGGCTGTCACTTCTGCTTCATATTTTGATCTCAATGGATCCATTGACAGGTCATGGCTATGTCCCCTCTGACATTTTCCCTGCGTATTCAGAAATTGATAAAAGGAGGGAAAGAGAAAGCAGACTGTGACAGGCAAGCAGACAAGCGCAAGGTTCTCCTCAAGATTGAGAGAAGAATTTAAAGTGCCATCCAGCTCTACAGTACATTTACTCAGGACCGCTCTGATGTGGGTACCGTGGAAATGTGATTGGCAGGGACTGCTTGGGAAAATAAAAGGATGAATCTAGATGACTAAGAGAGAGAGAACAAGAGCATTAGAAAGAAGAAAGACAGGAATAAAGGAGGAGACGTGTCTGTCACAGAGGAGTTATTTCTGGAGCTTCTCATCCTCTGTATCAAATAAAATTTAGGTATTGAATTTACGGCTAGTTGTTTTTTTTGCTATCGTCATCTGTCTATCTATCTGTCTATCAGTCTATCACTGATCTATCGATCTACAGTACTGGGCAAAAGACTGCCCTTCATTTCAAGTCAAAATGGTCATTAATATTACTTTTTCAGGAGATATTGCTGAGGATTATGTATAATGTAATCAGTTTGCATAACGAAAGGGAAAGTCAAAGAAACATTAGTGGAAAATCAGGTGTTTTCAAACTGAAATTAAACTCCAGCTGTGTCTATCTGTGTCTATTATGCCCTCTTTTACATGAAGGGGCATAACCGTGGTGGGAGGGGTTGTTTTTCATATCTTGTTAGATAACTGTTATCAATCTCAGACAGGTTTGATGAATAGTTTGCCAGGTAATCTTGATTAAAGGGAAACCTACTCGAATTTTGTCCGTCATTATTAAGCAAGCCTCAGTTGTCATGCGATATGAGGAGGAAAAAAAATCTTTCTGAAGATTCAGAGCACAGACAAATACAGTCAGATAAAGGCTTATTAAGGGACGTTTCTGTCAGACAAATGAATAGTATTAAAAGGCCAGCTATAACAAGCCATTGTTGAACATCAAACAAGTATTTGAAGCTGCCGGTGTCTCTGGACTCTCGAGAACCTCTTGATGCAGGATCCTTCACAGGCTGGCACTTGTGCGTAAAGCTGTATTTTGCTCACCCCTAACCAAAGCTCACAAAGAAAAATGTTTGCAGTGGGCTTAGAATACATGACTAATTTTAAACAATTTTATTCACTGATGAATGCCATGCTACACTGGTCCAGATGGATTGGAGTTCTGGATGATGGGTGATTGGCCACCCTGTTCTAAGATTGCAACATCAGCAAGGAGCTGGAGGAGTGATGACTTGGACTGGAATATTAAGAGCTGAGATGGTAGGTCTCTTTAGGGTCCTTGAGGGTGTTAAAATTACCTCTTCGAGATATGTGGAGTTCCTAACCAACCATTCTGGGGACATATAAAAAGAAGAATCGTGCCTTTTGGAATAAAATTATTTTCATGCAGGATAATGCACCATCCCATGCTGCAAAAACAACATTGACTCCTTGGTTGCTGTGTACATAAAAGGAAAAAAAATCATGGTGTGGCCACCATCATTCCCTGACCTCAGTCCTAATGAGAACCTGCAGAGTATCCTTAAATGTAAGATCCGTGAGGGTGGGTGGCAGTATACATCAAAACAAGAGCTCTGAGAGGCAATACTGGCATCCTCGAATGAAATACAGGCAGAAACTATACATGGACTTACAAGTTAATTGGA